GAATGATGTACAAATGCGCTTTACACAATTGATGTGTGTATGGATTGCGATAACAGTTGTATGAGCCCCTAATAAAATGTTAAAAAAAAAAAAGATTCTAGGCGAGTCAGCTGGAAAGGACAGCTATGGGTCATTCTGAATCAGAATCTTACTGCGTAAGACATGAACAAGTCAAAAGGAAAGGAGTTGCATTCATCGTCAAAAAGATGTCAAAATCTATCTTGATGCACAATGCTGTCGGTGATGGGATAATATCTAAATGTCCCAAAGAAAGTCTAGTTAATACACAATTATTCAAACTTATACACCAACCACTAAAGCCAACGAAGAAGACATTGAAGAATTCCACCAACTTCTTCACTCTGAAACTGATCATATAGGCAATCAAGATGCATTGATAATAACAGGTAACTGGAATATGAAAGTTGGAAACAGAAAGGATCCAAACCCAAATTCAAACTCACTGCCATAGAGTTGATGCCAACTCATTGTGACTCTATAGGACAGGGTAGAACTGCCCCCGTGAGTTTGCGATAGAACTCTTTTTTATTTTTTCTGAGATAGAACTCTTAATGGGAATAGAAAATCTCATCTTCAGTGGAGCAGCTGGTGGTTTCCAACAATAAACCTTGTGGATCTCAGCCCAACATGCAACCACTATGACACTAGGGCTTTAAGAGGAAGGATCAATAATTAGAAAATAAGATCTTAGTGACAGAAATGAGCTGGAGATTATGTATCAAAATTCTGCAAGACTCATAACTTTTTAATTGCTAATACATTTTCTAATATAAATAGACTATACACATGGACCTTGTCAGGTAGTATACACAGGAATCTAATGATTACATTTGTGGCAAGAGATAATGGAAAAGCTCATTATCAACAGTTAAAACAAGGCCAAGGGCTGACTGTGGAACAGACCTTCAATTGCTCAATCCTAAGTACAAATGAAAGCTGAAGAAAACAAAAACAACCCTAGGAGAGCCAAATATGGCCTTGAGTGTAACCCACGTGGATTGAGAGCCAAGCATGGCCTTGAGTGTAACCCACGTGGATTGAGAGAGCATTTCAAGAAGAGCTTTGAGCTTCAACAAGCGGAAGCACTGGGAGCACCCTTTAGTCTACAGCAAGAAATTCGGAAGAAAAGCTACCTGGGACCAATGACTGATAGAGATCCATATATGTGCACATTCCAAAGAAAGATAACGCAATGTGTGTGGAAATCATCGAACAATATCACTAGTGACATATGCAATTAAAATTTTCTTAATATCATTAAAAAAATGGTGCCAGCAATGTATCAGCAGTGAGCTACCAGAAATTCAAGCTGGATTCGTAAGAAGAGGTGAAACAAGGGATATCACTGCTGACATCAGGTGGCTGAAGCAGAGAATATCAGAAAGATGCTTCCATCTTATTGACTATGCAAAGGAATTGATTGACTGTGTGGATTATAACAAACTACTGATAGAATTTTGAGGAATGAGAATCCAGAACACTTCACTGTGCTCATGTGGAACCAGTACACAAATCAAGAGTTAGTTGTTTGAACACAACATGGGAATGGTGTGTGGTTTAAAATCGGGAAAGGTGTGTACCAGGGTTCATCTGTTCACCAGACTTATTCAATATATATGATGAGCAAATAATCCCAGAAGCTGAACTACCAGAAGAGCCCACCATCAGAATAAAGGGATGGACTATTAATAACCTGTGATATGTGGATGATACGTTCTTGTTTGCTGGAAATGGGAGGGCTTGAAGCATTTGCTAATGAAAATCAAAGATGGCAGCCTTCATCTATATAACTCAATGTACAGAAAATTAAAAACCTCACAACTAGACCAGCAGACATGGTGATAAATGGAGCAAAGGTTAAAGTTGTCAAGTATCTCATGTTGTTTCCACAACCAACGCTCATCAAAGCAGCAGTCAAGAAATCAAAGAGTGCATGGCACCCACTGGGAAAATCTGGTGCAAAAAGGGACGTTTTTCAAGTGTTAAAGAATAAAGATGTCACTTTGAAGACTAATGTGTACCTGATCCAAGTCAGGTGGAAGTTGGACAGTGAATAAGAAAGACTGCATGACAATTGAATCACCTGAGTTAGGGTGTTGGAGAAGAAAAGCCAAGTACCATGGCTCGCCAGAACAAGGAAACGTGACTTGGAAGTTCAGCTAGAATGCTTAGAAGGATGTGGGAGCTTGTGTCACATATTTTGGATATGTTATCATCACGTCCCTGGTAAGGACATCATGCTTGTTAAAGTAAAGGGTCACTAAAAACGAGGAAGACCCTCAACGAGGTGGACTGCAATAACGGGCTCAAACATGGCAATGGTGCAGGACGGGGAGGGCTTGGTTTTGTGGTACACAGGGTGGCTGTGAGTTTTGTAGTACACAGGGTGGCTTTGAGTTGGAGCCATGGGATGGCATCTCCTAACAACGCTCAGAAGGCAGGAAGAAAGAGGAAAGAACGTAAATGGAAACAGTAAACACAGGGAGGAAGTGGTAAGAGTTACATTGTGGGGATGAGTTCATTTATTGTGCCAACCATGGCCGATAAACACATTTGGGGTTAATTGAAGGGCGGAGGGATAAATGGCTCAGTGAGCCTAGCCTTTCTAGTTCTCGGGTCTCTTGCTTTGTGATGGTCGGCCTAGGGTGCAGCTGCCCTAGCCAGTTCCCTGCTTCAGCTGGCAAGGCTCACTTCCTGCAAGACATCCCCAAGGAGAAGCCGCATGGACCTACCCCAATGCAGCCCTGGGTGCTGGAGCAGCCGTGTGGAGACCCCTGCCAGCGCTGAGATGCTTACACGTTCACTGATTCGGCTTTTCTCCTGCAGTCGGCATCATTGCGTGTGTTTTGTGAGATGGAGGAGGACTTTGTGGATTGGTGTTGGACATATGAGTTAATGTTGGACTTGTGGGCTTGGGCAGCACTGGGTTGGGATGTTTTCTTGATGTGCACTTACCCTTTATATAAAATGCTCTCTTATACATGGAGTTTCTGTGGATTTTTCTCTCTAAAGTACACAGACTAACAAAGGGGACTACAGTCAATGTCACAAAAATGTGTAGAAATTGTTGAACAGAAAATCAATTTGCTGTGAAAATGTTCCCCCAGCTGTGAAAATGTTCCCTCAAATCACAAACCAAGTAAAAGTTCATATGGGGGACAAAAAGTTGTACCTATCATGTCTAAATGCCCAAACCTTAGCATTTCAAATAAAAATTCAGCAGTATGTGAAATAACTCAAATGTTTAACATTTAAAGGCTTTAGCAAGATATAATTTTATATAACATGTAGTATGTACAAGGGGGCTTCAGTGGAATCTGTGGGAAAAATGGAATTAAAAGACAATGCAATTTTCCCACAAACTTTTTGAAATCTTCATATTTCTCCATCTCTCTTTAATAGAGGAATAATGTTTCCAAAAATGAACTACATTATGTTGGATGCTTAATGAAAACCGATTTTGGGGTTTTTTTCTTACTCAATTAAGAATTGACTCCATTCCCTCGGACAAAACGGAAAGTGTTCCAATTCTGCAGCGCAAGTCTGAAGGGCGAACAGTGGATAGGAGCAGTGGTTCTATGGCAGTGGTTCTCAACCGTCTTAACGCTGCGACCCTTTCATACATTCATGGTATGATGACCCCCCCAATGATAAAATTATTTTCGTTGCTACTTCATCACTGTCAATTTAGTACTGTTATGAATCGAGGGACCCCTGTGAAAGGGTCATTTGACCCCTAAAGGGGTCACGACCCACAGGTGGAGAACCACTAACTCTATGGGAAAGTTGGCTTAAACTTGAACTCCCCATTTTCGGGCTGTATGACCATGGGCAGGCCATTTAATGGGCCTCACTTCAACAGCTCATGCATGCCCCAATGATGAAGGACTGCCCAACTGACAGCATTCGTTGGCCCTGCAGTCTCCTCATCCCCACCATGGGAATGAAATGCAGTAACCGCTGCTCAGGTGGTGGCCATGAGGGTTAAAAGCAGCACATGTGGACAAAAGCACTGAATGCACGGCTCAGCACATACTTTATAGAGAATTAAAGTGAGTTATTTTATTATTAGCAAATCTTTGAAAGTTATAATTATGTGCTGGGCATGAATTAAAAGAGAGGAGATTATAGATCTTCTGAGGGTACTAAATTAAAGTTCTAACATATTTTTCTAAGTAAAATACCTGGTCTAATTCAATTTTTGAGTCAGGTCTTAAGCAAAAGAAAAAATTATTTTGGCCCATCCTGCTGGTGGATGCCATCAAGTCGCATCCAGAGCAGACCTGCTGCATGGCATTTCCCAGGCTGTAATCTCTGTGGAAGCAGAGCACCAGTTTTCCTCCTGGGAAATAGTTGGGTAGGCTTGCCCTTCCAACCTTGCCGCTAACAACCGTGCACTTACCTGTTGTACCATCAGGGATCCTTTGCAAATACTACTCTTGTTAAATATAAAAAGCATCTAATTGTTATACTATTTAAAAGTATTTTAAACTGGTCAAATGTAGCATTATATAGTACTTCTAAAATAGGAAAAAACTCACAATCTACTATAACTATAAAGTATTTCTTTCCAGCCTTTCCCCCCCCCAACCCTTTTCAAATAAATTTTTATATAACTGAATCTTGTAGTACATTAAAATAGTTTGTATCTTCTTTATAAGTTTAATACTTCATCATTAGCATTTTCTATGTTGCTATATTAATCTTTATAACCACCACCAGGAAAGCAAGTATTTGGCTCAGTAGCTGTATTATAATTTGTCTTCAACTACTCTTCTTCCAAGACAGGCTTACTCATTCATCCCGCAGTCCGTGGGACTTTCAATATTCTTCACCAACACCATGAAATCCAAAGGCATTGAGATCATCTACTGTCTTCCGTATGCACACGCTGCCCAGCTTTCACATGCATTGGAAATGGCTTGGGTCAGGTACACCTTAGTCTTCAGAGCAACATCTTTGCCCTTTTTTTTTTTTTTTAAACACTTTAAAGAAGTCTTTTGCAGTATATTTGTCCAACGCAATGCACCATCTGATTTCTTGACTGCTTTTTCTATGTAGGCACTGATGGTTACGGATCCACGCAAAGTAAAATTCTTGATAACGTCAATTCTTTCTTTTTTAAGATTTCATACTTGGAATTATTTCCCAATAGCAGCATTCAAAAGTGGAATGATCAGATCAAAATATATGAATATTTTGACGGTTCTTTATAATGGATAATTGCATTTATCTGGATTGCTTCAAGTACCAAAGCTCTCAATGAACTACTTTCAGAAGGGGACTGCTACTAGGCTTTTTTTTAATTAAAAGGTTACTTTACTGAGGGCTCTTACAGCTCTTCTAGCAATCCATGCACCCACTGTATCATGTACATTTGTACACATGCTGCCATCACTTTTCTAGACGTTACTTTCTATGGAGCCCTTCGTATAGCTCTTCTTTTCCCACTGCCCGCCACCCCCAACCGCGTGACCCCTTGATAAATTACAAATTATTATTTTCCTATCTTACACTGATCGCTGTCTCCCTTCCCCGATGGTTTCTGTTGTTCATCCCCCTGGAAGGGTGTGTGTGTGGTTATGTGTTGATCGTTGTGATCAGTTCTCCCAATATCAGTTTTATTTATTTATTTGCAGATATTAGGTTTTTTAAATTACTGGTTTAATAGGTGAAAAATGGTAACATACAGTCATGTTTTACATTTTGGGTACGATTACTAAGTGAGTCTGAACCTTTCCCCCTCCTAAAACCAGAGATTCTATAAATAAATAATTGATTTCTTCTGTTTTTTTTCAATGCATCAATTTAATATTTAATTCTTCAATCTAACAGGGATTAATTTTGTGTACAAGTGAAATAAGGGCTTACGTTTCAGTGAATTTCATCTCTTTGGCTAATTAGTTATTCCACCCCACAAATGATCCCTGACAGCAACTCTATTATAGCTAATTCTTTTATTAATCAGAATTCTGGCTTGTCTGTTATGCTAGCATGGTAGTTTCAACACTCAAGAGTTTTTTTGTTTTGTTTTTCATTCAACATGTTTCTTTTCATTCTTTTGTTTTCTTTCTTTCTTTTTAAATAATTTTATTGGGGGCTTGTTCAATTCTTATCACAATCCATAAATCCATCCACTGTGTCAAGCATATTTGTACATTTGTTGCCATCATCATTTAAAAAACTTTTACTTTCTACTTTCTACATCATTTTAAAAACTTTTACTTTCTACTTGGTGGGCACTTTGACATCAGCTCATTTTCCCCCCTCCCTCATGAACCCTTGATAATTTATAAATTATTATTATTTTTTCACTCAAGAGTTTTTAAGGTGGATTTTATACCTGAGAAGAAACATTCCTTCCTTCATTTTATCATTTTAAAAGAACTTATTTATTTATTCATTCATTTATTTATTTATTGGAACTTATTTGAGCAATTCTTAGTTAGAAATTCTTCTTTCTTTTTAAAAAGAGGCAGTAACAAGAACAGCTCCATTAACTGTTAACTAGGTGTGGAATAGGATCCTCAGATTCATCCATCAGGTGTATACTGAATACACCACGCTCTCCCTCTGGCTCTGAGTGATTTATTACTGTTCTACAACAGTTTTGAGTAAGGATTTACGTGGTCTACGAACGCTGGAGATTGATGGCCCTCCGCGGGAAACTCTGCAGGGCATAAGTAAGACCAGTTCACCAGCTGCCCTCTTGTTCACCCAGCACTCACTTGCACTGTGTGCCAGACACCAGGGACGCAATACCAAACAAAACGACATCTGCTCTGACGCAGGAACCAGTGCTTCATACTCTGTCGTCGTACAGCTTTTACTGTGCAGAAAGGGCAAGACACACACACACATTTTGGTGTGCTTGTCTCTTCATGAAAGGGAGGAGTGAGGAAAGGCACTTACTGCATCACTTAAGACTTCACTGTTTATAGGCAAGATGTGTTCCATTCGCACAAAGGGTAAGAGAGAAGAAAGGATCTCTCTAAGCTCTTCCATGTCCAGGTCCCGTCTTTTCACACCTCTTTTGTTCACACTATGAGCAGTGCCACTCAGCAAGTTTGGCTCTACAAGACAGAAAAGGAAGGGTTTTTAACCAAATCCAGTTTTGGAGAAAAGCCTTTCTTTTTTTTAGTATACATCTCATTAACACTTTAGCAAGTTTGAGTATGTATGCTTTGAACAAGGTTATAAATAATAAATTTTATGTCAGAAGTTTACTTCGTACAGAAATCCTTGGACAAACAGAAAGTTGGCTGTCAACAACAGTCTTTTATGCCTGTTTAGTCCTGAGGGTAAAGGGTTCTTTCCTATATACAAAGTTCTGAGGAGGAAAAACTAAAAAATCAAACTCACTGCCATCGAGTCATATCTGTCTCAGCAACCCCATAGGACAGGGTAGAACTGCCCCTGTGGGATTCTGAAACTAGCTCTTTATGGGAGTGGAAAGTCTCGTCTTTCTCCCTTGGAACTGGCTGGTGGTCTTGAACTGTTAACCTTGTCATCAGCAGCCCACTGAGTAACCACTAAGGCACCAGGGGTTTTTGTCTTAAGCTTTTTCACTTGGTGGGCAGTTCTGAGCACAATCATGGTAACCCAAAACGTGTGCTGCTGATAACTGCAGGGGACCAGCATCTCATAAGGCTAACAGCAAACTGACAAGCCGCAAATCACATGGGATTTAAAGCAGCGACACCTCGCGGGCTCACTTTATCTATCTCTGAATGTTTATGATGGCCTCTTAAACACCCGTACCGAGGCAACATGTAACGTATTTCCTTTCCCAGAGCAGAGAATAAAGGTTCTTCACTGGAGGGGAGTGGAAGGGGATGATGGCAAGTACAGATATGCTCATGACACTGAGGTGGGGAGAAAATTTATGTAGTTGATTAATCACGTCTTTAACTTAGGGGGCCATAGGTTTCGCTTGTTTTCCCCCTCTTTAAAAGATCATCATTGAATAAAAAATGTATTACTCATGCAGCCATTTTTGGCTAACACTATAAAGGCTAATTAGTATTTTGCTTCAGTCATGTGTTACATGTGCATATAAAGAGATAGAATTTGTGAGAAGCTAAGCTTTTTCATGAGTTATTCAAAATAAAGTCTAGTACGTGAGTGGGGAAAGGTGTATTTTCCCTTGTTTTGCTATCATTTGGCTTCATAAGGCATTTTTTTCTTCATTAAGTAGTGGAACTCAATTTTCAAACAGAATTGTGCAGGACACCTCCGATTGTACAACAGGTAAAGGCAAGACTGCCATCGATGGGGAGAGACCGCAGCCAACGTGCGGCCTGGCTTGCTTGCTTGGCTTCCTCCTCACTCCTGCAGAAAATGCTTCCCTTTTAAAAGCCCAAACAGAAAATAATTGTGTGCTTTTTAAAAAATTAATCACTTCATTGGGGACTCTTACAGCTCTTAAAACAATCCATACATCAATTGTATCAAGCACACTTGTACAAATGTTGCCATCATTTCCAAAATATTTTCTTTCTACTTGAACCTTTGGTATCAGTTCCACTCCCCCCCCCC